TTTTTCTATACATTTAAAATAATTTCGAGCAATTCTGGTCCTTCCATGCATTTCAAATCATTCTGGCCCCATAAAGTTTTAAATTGTGATGAAATTTGCAACATTTTATAAAAATTTTCTATATTTTGGAAAAAAAATATCGAAAATATGGAACAATAGCATAAACAAATTCAAACTACTAAAAAATAGAAATCAAATTCAAAAGATTGTTATCACTTTATTTTATAACACACTATTTTAGTTATATTTATTACTTCATATCGTGTATTATTCAATTGTCTTTTTTAATATTTGCATCGCTGTATTGGCTGCAATATAATATAAAGCATAACTTATGATGATTTTCTGAACATGCACCTAAATTCTGATAAAACTTTGTAAATATCTTTCCACACTGATATAATTGTTACATTTGTATAGTACCGGGTTCAATCGTACGGGTATGCGTTACATACAACCGTTGCTGGATGTTGCAATTCTCGTTAAGGTTAAATTGGTCTCTGGAAATGATATTCAAAAAAGGAAGCCATTTGGATGGTAAACGTTTTCAGGAACATTTAGGCTAGAAAGCAAGGGAGATTGACATCAATTAACGATGATTGGGTGTGTTTTTCGAGCTAACATTACGAATTTCAAGAGTTTGGCGAGAAATAAAAAATGACAAACTATATATGTGAATGGGAAACAAAGTTAAAAAATTTGTGGTTTCTGCAATCATTTTTCCTTTCACTCTCGAAGATGATCTTTGAAGAAAAAAAAAGATAGTAATAGAAATGATAAGTTTAGTGGTATGAAAGGAAAGAGCGATGAATCAGAGTTTGGTGGACCACACCCTTTGAAATATTTCGTTTCCTTCCATTTCTTCCAATCTTTCTTTTTTTCTCCCAACCAACTCTGATTCATCGCTGTTTCCTTTCATATCACTAAACTTATCATTTCTATTACTATCTTCTCTTCTACTAATACTTCAATCATATCCTTGTCGTTCCTTTTTCAATCAAAGCTATGTCATTTCATCTTTATCTTTAGGCTATTTTCACTTCCACTACTCTTTCAATCACTCCCATTTATCACTTGCTATTTCACTCACAAATTTTTTGCAATCGAAAGTTCACAAAATTAAAAGAGAACTATACATTTTAAAATTATTGCATATGAATTGTTCATGTCTACACATATGCATTATGCAGACCGTATTCTAAAATTTTTTAGGATCCGCAATGTTCAACTTATAAGATGATGATAGAATTATTGGAATCTGGAATCTAATATTCATAGAACTTAATACAAATGAAGAAAGCAATTTATAAGATTATAAAAAAGTGCATCGATACTGGAATGGGTCTTGAAAGAATAGCTGCTTTGACACATGATATTGATCTATTCTTTGATATGATAAGTAAATCACATGAGTGATTTCATATATGAGTTACTTACTTAAATAAATTGAAGTGAAATAATTGAGGATTTATGTTTTCGATTTCGAAATGGAAATAGTAATAGCTGTGGTGCGGATGGAAGGCGAGAAAGTGGACAAAATGAATGGAAACGCATTTGAAGTGCTTCTTGTTAATGAGCCGTGTTCATCATCACGACATGAAATTCGGATGCAATTACCACGCTGTCATCTGTCTCCTCGTGGTGACCCCGCTGAAACAGCATTAACTTTCGTGCAATATCATTGCAGGTTTTTTTCTCTCCCACCTGTATTCTTTGTTGTTTCCGAAAATTTTTTGCTATGTTAATTCTATTAATTCTAAGTATCGCACCTCCCGTAATCATACATGCTGGTTCTTATCATATCACTTATCTATTCTCATCCATTTCTGGAACATCTCTGATCATTATTACTAATTATTTTAGTTGAAAATTTCAGAAAATGGCCACGTAGAACATTTGAAGTGCCATTATGGGGTGACAGTAACTTAATGATGCAAAACAGGTCACCATATAATGAGTCTGCACAACTTGCATTGTACTGCATACCACTAACTGAAAACGGTGATTTCTTTTAAAATCTTTCGTTTTTAATTTCACTCAACAAAATTTTTGCTTTTTTGCATAAATTATATGTTAAAAACATCATAGTCAAAATAATATATTGGCTATCTCCGTTATTATTATCTTTACAAAATTTTTAGTGTTATTGCGAAATCAGAATTTTCTGATTAATCGCTTTTTTCCGTTTAGTTCATTTTATAAAATCAAACGCACATTGCTTGCCTAATCGAATAAACAATTAATAAATCGTTTTAATTGTTCATCACCGAATTGATGTTAGAGCTAAGAAGATTACTATACAAATTTTATTTACCATCAAAAAATCAAATATGAGGTAATTTTCAGAAGACGGATTTACAAAATTGACTAAAATTGGCCACTTTGAAGCACTTTCCTCAGTTTCCAAACATTGTCAAACTGATCCCGAATGTTTTTCTGTGGAAACATGCCATTGCATTTTACAACTTGAAAGGTTTGGCTTCCATTTCCAACTAATTCACATCACTTTTTTACCTATTTTTAATTTTGCTTAAGAGAATTAATGAAAAAAATAGGATAAGAACGGTCTGATTTGGTAACAATTTACAATATCACATGATTTACTGGCGATTCCTGACATTCTGATATTCGATTGAATATTTTTTATTTCGGTTTGAAACGTTTTAGTTTGAAGCGGTGAGAAACTTTCCAAACATCTATTTCAAAAAGATAGGAAACGGAGCAAACATATAAGTTATTTGAAGTAAAAGAAATTTTATCAATTCTTTATTTCGAATTTATATATAATAATGCATTACAAGTGCACATTCAAAAGTTTGCCTGCAAAAAAGAACTTTTTAATTTAAATCTCACAAAAAAATAAAAAAGTTAGTTGTTCTTTCATTCTTATTTATAACTTTCTTTAAATATCTAGGCAAAATAATTCGTTCCTACGGATTTACTTGTTCCAAAAAACATTCATTTTCATTTTCGATAATTGGTAACAATTTAAAACAATTGTATATGTACATATATATATATATACTTATTTGTTTGTTTATTTATTTATATTTATGTATACTAGATATGTTTCCAGTCGAATAATTAAATAAGAATGCAAAAAATTGTTCAAGGATGTTAATATGGTTTGAAAAACTCTTAATTAATAATACCTTAAGCTGGCTTCATCATCAGCACTGTAAAGATACGAATTTTCTTTCTCGATTTTTTCTTCTGCCAGCTGCAAAGATACGAATACGCCAATGTGCGCATAATCCAGCTTATGAACACGAGCATTCCTCACTGTGTCACAAGTAAGAAACATTAATTGTGAAATTAGAATCGATTTTAAGTCTAATTTTAATTTCCTGCAAATAATTTTCAGAAGGCTTCAAAAGTTGCTTGAAGGATTGCAAGTGCATGTTTTGAAATTTGTGTCTAATTAATTACTTGTTTCATTACCTGAAGCAGTACTGTTTTTTAAATGAGTATATTTTTTGCATATTGTGATTCTTGCATTTGGAAACAATCCAAAAATATGGCATTTAAAGAGTACTTTTTAGTAAAATAAAAGAAAATCAACAACAAAAACGAGAAAAAAGTTGCACTTTTCATTCTTATCAAAGAAAAAACATTGTAAATAATTTTTTTAATTTGTAAAATTTATTTCAATTTTTCATATCATAGGCGAATAATGGATTATGATCGAAATCCAAGTAGTACAAAGAAATCATGTGATTTAGCTGAGGAAGTACGACGAAGTAATTATGCACGAGCCAAAATGATGGGCTACGAAAAATACGACATGTTCATCATTAACCCACTGTTTGGCACTGGTCTACATTGCGGTAATACTAATGAGGTTGATGATAGTCAGATTTGTTCTTCTGTCAAACTATTTTCATAACTGAACTAAAATATTGCAATGATGGGTAAACGTACGATATATTTATTATCAGTTCATTATCGGATCGGTATCAATTTCATATTATGATAAGATCAATGAGCTTAACTGCCAAATCTGATTTTTGCTGAACTATTTTCATCATTAGTTGAAACATATCAAAAAATGTTGGTTAAATGGGAAAGTAATATCGAAATTATATCAGAAATTTGATTTTTGTTTGTTTTCATATATGACAAATGTATCCATTAATACAATAAAGATATTGAAATGATTAAAAAATCCTTTAAAAAATTTCTCGATGTTTTTGAAAGATTTTAGTAGTACTAATCAATTTACAGTTACATTATTATGCAAAAGGTGTGACACTTCGAAAAAGTGTGTCATCCTCGTCAAGTTCAAGTGCTGAATGTTGGTCTGAAAAATATCCATTACATAGAGCCGCACATGATAATAACGTTGATGATATAAGGTATAACATTTTATTTAAAACAGTCGATTTTAATATGATTGAAATTTGAGCTCAAATTTGCGTCAAATGTGTAAAATCAAATTTAAACTCAATTTTCAATTAATATTAAAAGAGAAAAAGTGAAAGAAAGAATTTAAACTTTACATCATAATTTATTGTAGACGACTGTTAGCACAAGGCATGGCCGCAAACGAAAAAGATAACGCTTCTTGGACACCGTTGCATTACTCTGTCTTTTATAATAACTTACGAGCAGCAGAGGTATGCACGTATAGTTTTTTTTCGAGAAATTTACGACTAATTATATGATTTTTTAAACTATAATAATAAGAAGGCAGAGGAAAAAACTCAAATAATCTTTTTTTTCCGTCGCAATCAGTAATTTCATTGTATACTGTACATTTGAAGAAGAATTTTTGTACACATGCAATATAAATTCCTGTTGAATTCTTTTTATATCTGGAATTTTAATTCAAAAAAGGGATTAAATACTTAATTATTACTCAACTTTAGGCATTACTATTACATCAAGGCACGGATGTAAATGCTTCGAATAAAGTTGGTTCAACAGCATTGCATTTTGCAGTGTTACAGGGAAGTGTTTATATGGTTGAACTATTGCTTTCACATTCAAAAATTAATGTGGTACGTGACCGTACTTATTATTATTAAGTGATACACACGCTGCAACTTTTATTTTTGCTTTCATGCATGCTTTTGCAAGTTAACATTTCATTTAAGGATGCGAAAGATAGCAGTGGACGACGTCCCATAGACGTCTGCGCTTGTGTACCTAAAAGGGAATATCAAAAGGTAGCGAAATTGTTACTTAACTGGAAGCGACTTAATAAAATACAGGTAATTCATTCGTACTTTCGTTTACTCTCTCACTATTTTCTGCTTGAAACATGCTCTTCAGGTGGAATTAATGGACGGTGGCAGTGCGCAGTTGCTACTTACACATGGTCAAGAAACAACGGCTGCAGAGTTGCATGCGGAAATGTGCAAAGAATTGAAATTTAATAGTGATAGTGGAAAACTGTTTGCAATGTGGATTTGTTCGGATCGTTTAAGTAGGTTTGCTAATGTTCAAGTGAAATATAATCTTTCAAATTTCCTTTAATCTCTTAACCTTTTGAATTTTACTAATTTCCTCTTTCATTATTGCAAACACCAAATATCACGTTTCAGATCTAAGTAATTTTACTGCCTTTTTATAAGCATATAATAAGTAAAGGAATGGCATAAAAAGTAATGAAAAAGCGAAAAATATCTTTAGAAGAAAACTTCCAGGTTTGCAGTTAAAAGCAGATCATAAACCAATGCTGCATATGAGTAAGTGGAAAAGTAAAATAACAAAATTTGGAAATGAAGAGATTCAGTCAAACGACGGTGATGCACCGAAAATTTTCTTCCGTCGAGATGCTCGTTTAACCTTACAGAAGGAAAAAATGGTATTAACGGTCTTTGATTCCTTACAAATAATTCAGTTTAACTCATTCAACTTTATCAAAATCAAATTAAGATATATATCATTTATTTTGATATCGTTTGTCGATTTTGATGAGATAAATATGAGTTTATCTCGGTCAAAACAAAAAAAAATGAAAAAAATTGCAAAAAAATTAAACACATTAAAATGAGCAATAATTTAATATTGAAATTACTACCAGTATTGAACTAAATAAATTCAGATGTAAACCGTTTATTTTGATACTATATGTTAAGGCGGCATTAACACCGATGGCACTTTCCCTACTATATGATGAATGCCGTCTGAATTACCTGAAAGGCCTGTATCCGTGTTCAGATCATGACCTCACTTCACTCGCTGCCATCATGTTACATGTCATTTATGGTGCTCATATTCAACTAACGTTAGTTCTACGCTCAATGTAACCGTAGCACTTATGAAATAATTTTATGCTCCAACTACAATAATGAAATTTTTTAAATAATTTCAAACAATTATTTAAATATTCTGATGAAAATTTTCACAGCATTTTCTTAATATCTAAAAATGTAGAATAAGTGGAAGAAACAGAATCACTCTACGTACGTTACCTTCTCGGATACTATCCTTTAATCTCCTACAAAAATATAAGAAGGATTAGAAAAATTTTGGCTCATTGAAAATAACTCTATAATAATACTTTTATAGGGAACAAATGTTAGCTTCAGTAATTCCCATACATCGATGGCCAGGAACGGGAAGTAATCTGAAACAAATGCGTTCACGGATTGAATCTGAACATCAAGCACGGAAAAGAACTAATTTAATTAAATTACAACAAGAATTTCTACAAATCTGTTGGCGTTTTAGCGTTTATGGTGCAACATTTTTTGATGCTATTGCTTTTATGAACAAGGTTCAATGTCCTTTCTTTCCTTTTTTTAACATTCCAATATAAAAATTTCTAAATATCAATACTAATTAAACCATTTTAAACTAAAGTTTGAATTTTTTTAAACAAGCTGTTGCAAACAATAAATAGGAGAAAATAGCGCGACAGATGAAGAAATCGCATATTATAACCTATTCAGCTATGTTTCATGAATGATATGTCAAAATGGTAATAATTGTAGTTAAAAATACACTCGTTACATGCATGCAGGCATGCACGTGCACCTCTTCTGCATGACTAAGTTTCTAAGTCTTAATATTATAAGTTGAGAAAAAAAGCGATCAAATAAAGCATTACTCGTCACAATTATTATTTACCTAAAAACTATAAATTTTGCGCTTTCTTTATGTTTTCATTAATTCGTATTAAATTTAATGCAATAACTTCTTTTGATTTTTTCACAATTTTATTTTTTATTATTATTTGATATTAAATTTAAAATAATGATAATTTCAAGTCTTCGATATTTCTTCCTTTCTTTTTATTAATACTTGCAATTGCAGCCTGCCAAACTTAGCATACCGGTACATGCCGGGGTAAACGATTATGGTTTACATTTGATCAATGCCCAAACGAAAATTCTCTTTCACAGTTGTCCGTTGAAAAGTTTGACATGGGTGATGAAAACAGATCGGCCATATATTCAAATATACGCGAAGCCTGGTGTTGATCTTACGCTTAGCACACCGCAAGTAAATATTTTACCCATTCAATTTTTTCTTTACATTAGTCTAAAATCCACTTCTTTCTCATAAATCTTTTTTTTTGCATATAGCAACCATTGGATAAAATATCAAAGTCTACAACATGTTAATAACTTACTATCATATTTTGATAGAGCTTTTTTTTAAAAAATTTCGTAGTTAAAACAATTTTCTCTGATCCCTTAAGCCACTTTCTATAGATTTCTCCTCAAATTTACAATTTCTTGTAAGAGTGCAAGAAAATTTGAAATAACCCACACATCCATCTTTTTGTTAATAAATAAACTTGAATGAGGCAAACTGCATATTTGATGACGGCAGCTAATTTCACCAAATTTGCATATTCAGTAATTGCAATTGACCTTTACTAAAAAATAAAAATAAAACAAAATAAATGCAGTCTCTGGAATCAATCCTACCAACCCATTTAATCTATTGCTTTTAGGCAAGTCATATCAATAGTCTGCTAACAAGACTAAGAAGTGCAGCTGAATGAAAAATAAAATCCTGAATTTATTAGCTATTCCAGTGCCGAATTTTATGTTTTAAGCAATATCGTTAGGGAATAATTTACAATAACAATTTATTTCCATTTTTATTTTTTATTTTTGTAATGACAGTGAATGTTGGTTTTCAATGTTTTACAATGAAATCTCTAACGGTCAAATATACTGACGTTAATTACTACACTTCCAATCGATTCATTCATATCTTTTTTTATTATGTTTGGCATTTTATTGGAATTCTTAAATTATAGGTGATTCAAACGATATCCTCAGCCTCAAATAATGATGAAAGTACTTTTACCAGAAGTACTTTTACCTAAAAATTTCGTAGGTTTAAAGTCTTCAATGAAAACTGAAGCCTATTAGCAGAGATCGGATTGTTTCGCTTGCATTCTCTCTTCCAAACTACAAATATCCCATTGTTCCGTTCCAAAAATACTTGAAAATCTAAAAATTATAACAACTTATCCCATTTTGACACATTTGCTTAATTCAGCTTCTGATGAACAGAATGATTCTCTGCGTGTGAACTTTCGATTGCAAAAAATTTGTGAGTGAAATAGCAAGTGATAAATGGGAGTGATTGAAAGAGTAGTGGAAGTGAAAATAGCCTAAAGATAAAGATGAAATGACATAGCTTTGATTGAAAAAGGAACGACAAGGATATGATTGAAGTATTAGTAGAAGAGAAGATAGTAATAGAAATGATAAGTTTAGTGATATGAAAGGAAACAGCGATGAATCAGAGTTGGTTGGGAGAAAAAAAGAAAGATTGGAAGAAATGGAAGGAAACGAAATATTTCAAAGGGTGTGGTCCACCAAACTCTGATTCATCGCTCTTTCCTTTCATACCACTAAACTTATCATTTCTATTACTATCTTTTTTTTTCTTCAAAGATCATCTTCGAGAGTGAAAGGAAAAATGATTGCAGAAACCACAAATTTTTTAACTTTGTTTCCCATTCACATATATAGTTTGTCATTTTTTATTTCTCGCCAAACTCTTGAAATTCGTAATGTTAGCTCGAAAAACACACCCAATCATCGTTAATTGATGTCAATCTCCCTTGCTTTCTAGCCTAAATGTTCCTGAAAACGTTTACCATCCAAATGGCTTCCTTTTTTGAATATCATTTCCAGAGACCAATTTAACCTTAACGAGAATTGCAACATCCAGCAACGGTTGTATGTAACGCATACCCGTACGATTGAACCCGGTACTATACAAATGTAACAATTATATCAGTGTGGAAAGATATTTACAAAGTTTTATCAGAATTTAGGTGCATGTTCAGAAAATCATCATAAGTTATGCTTTATATTATATTGCAGCCAATACAGCGATGCAAATATTAAAAAAGACAATTGAATAATACACGATATGAAGTAATAAATATAACTAAAATAGTGTGTTATAAAATAAAGTGATAACAATCTTTTGAATTTGATTTCTATTTTTTAGTAGTTTGAATTTGTTTATGCTATTGTTCCATATTTTCGATATTTTTTTTCCAAAATATAGAAAATTTTTATAAAATGTTGCAAATTTCATCACAATTTAAAACTTTATGGGGCCAGAATGATTTGAAATGCATGGAAGGACCAGAATTGCTCGAAATTATTTTAAATGTATAGAAAAA